GAAAACTCAAAGCCCACTCCCACAGTGACACAGCTCCTTCAACAAGGCCACACCCACTCCAACAAAGCCACACCTCCAAATAGTGCCACTCCCTATGAGATTATGGGGGGCAATTACATTCAAACTACCACATTCCACTCCCTGGCCCCATAAGTTTGTAGCAATATCATAATTCAAAATTCATTTAGTCAAACTTCAAAAGGCCCCATAGTCTAACGTAGTCTCAGATTTATTTTAAAAGTCCAAAGTTCAAAGTCTCTTCTGAGATTCTTTCAATCTCTTAACTCCAACTCTCTATAAAATCAAAATCAAAAAGCAGATCACATACTTCCAACATATATGGCACAAGACATACATTGCCATTCCAAAATGCAGGGAAGGGAGCATAGTGAGGAAATACTGGACCAAAACAATACTGAAAACCAGCTGGGCAAACTCCAGACTCTACATCTCCCTGTCTGATGTCAACACTCTTCAGATCTCCAACTCAATTGAGAGCTCTGTTGACTGCAACATACTTCTTTCTCTTGGGCTGGATCCACTCCCTGTTAGCAGCTCTCCTCAGCAGGTATTCCACAACTCTGGCATCTCTAACACCTTGGGATCTCCAAGGCAATCCAGGCTTCAACTTCACAGCTTCCTGGAATGGCCTCTCCAGGCCTCCATTCAGGGACACCACTGCCATATGCCTGGTCTCAGGGACTTTCTTTAGGTGCAGAGTCAAATTCCATAACCCATTTCTTCTATCCTTAACACTATCTAAAGCTAGAACCATGTGGCTGAAACTGCCAAGTTCTGCTGCTTACTGGGGCTAGAACATGGCCTCCTTGTTCAATTATATCTTCATCAGCTTTCTGTCCTTCACAGCCTAAACTTGACTGTCCTGAAACTCTAGAGCAGGATAGCCTTGAACTCAGAGATCTGCCAGCCACTGCCTTCTCAATGCTGGGATTAATGCTGTGCACCTCCACACCTGGCTCTAAGCTTTTCTTTAATTCCTTTTCACAAGTTTGAACTTCACTGGGTAGGATCTTGCCCTGAGGTCACCACTCCCTTTATTCCATTTCTTAATCTGTTTATTTTCTTGAACACAGGGCTTAGCTCCATTCCACTTCCATGTACTCTTTTTCTCCTCAAATATTTTTCCTTGTTCAGCTTGCTCCTTTTCATTATGAGGGTACCCTCATTAGAGCTAGCACTAGTAACCTCAAAGCTGAGTCTATTCTAGGCTGTTTTGAGATTTCCTCTGCCAATAGAATTAATCCAAATCTCTTCACTTGAGCTTCAGGAAGACTCTTCAGACAAGGGCAAAAAAGCAGCCACATCCTTCATCAAAATATCACAAGAATGATTTCTAGGCAACATACTAAAATTCTTCTCCCCTGAAACCTGAGTGAGCACCCCACAGTTCATCAAATCATACTCAGAGCCACTGTCTTCCATGCTCCTAGTAGGATGGTCCATTAAGCAGCACTTAAAGCATTCAACTGCTTTTCTAACCTGTAGTCCCAAAGTCCACATTCCTTCAAACAAAACAAGCAGGCCCATCACACTGATACCCCAGTCCCTGGTGCCAACTTCTTTGGAATGTGGTAGTTTGAATGTAATTGGTCCCCATAATCTCATAGGGAATGGCACTATTGGAGGTATGGCTTTGTCTGAGTGGTATGGCCTTGTGGGAGGAGGTATGTTACTGTAGGGGTGGGCTTTGAGGTTTCCTATGCTCAGGATTCTGCCCAGTGTCTCAGTCGTCTTCCTGTTGCCTGCAAGATAGATGTAGGACCCTCAGCTACTCCTCTAGCACCATGTCTGTCTGCACGCCACCATGCTCCCCACCATGATGATAATGGACTGAACCTGTAAGTGAGCCACCCCAATTAAATGTTTTCTTCATGAGTTGCCACGGTCCAGGCGGTGGTGGCGCACGCCTTTAATCCTAGTACTCGGGAGGCAGAGGCAGGCAGATCTCTGTGAGTTCGAGACCAGCTTGTTCTACAAGAGCTAGTTCCAGGACAGGCTCCAAAGTTACACAGGGAAACCCTGTCTCAAAAAAATCCAAAAACAACAACAAAACAAAAACAAAAACAAAAAACTCCTAAGAGTTGCCATGGTCATGGTGTCTCTTCACAGCAATAGAAACCCTGACTAAGACAAGATACCTAAGGATACTTAACTGGAGTCCAGAGGGCAAGCAGCCCCTTTTCAGACCTAACTTTCCCATTCATGCAACCCCCACAACTGTTTTGTTAACTTCATCTTACAGTGTAGAAACCAGCAAATACAGAATCTCTCAGGCCACAGGCCTTAGCCTGCAGGACCATAAACTTGGTCTTTGGGGGAAACAATAAGTTTATCTTCTTTCCTCTTTTCTAAATTGTGTTTTTATTTTATTATGCTATATGGCTATATTTGCACACCACTTGTGTGTCTGGTGCCCTCAGAGGCCAGAAGAGAGCATTGGATCCCAGGATTGGTTGGTATTGGAATCAAACTCTGGTCATCTAGAAGAGTAGCCAGTGCTCATTACCACTGGGGGACCTCTTCAGACCCCAATCCCACTAATCTTAACTAAAATTCAGTATTTCTTTCAATTATAAATGTAAATAAAAGCTAAGGTAAAATCAGCCAAACCTGTAATACTGTTCCCAATAGAAATCACAAGTATTTTCCTATAACATCATGTACCATAGGTATCTCAAAGCATTGTTTATATCATTGCCATTTGGCATTATGATAGTAATTAAATAACAGCCAGGCTTAATTAGCTCACATGTCAATGAATACACAGGCTACTATGTAACAATTTTTAAATAGTTCAGCATGATCAATTTCTTTCATAACCCAATGTACTTTATTTTATGCACAGAAATACATAGACCACACTGGGAGTTGGTGGCGTATGCCTTTAATCCCAGCACTTGGGAGGCAGAGGCAGGCAGATCTCTGTGAGTGTAAGGTCAGCCTAGTCTCCAGAGTGAGTTCCAGGATAGGCTCCAAAGCTACACAGAGAAACCCTGTCTCGAAAACAAAACAAAACAAAACAAAACAAAAAAACAAACAAAAGAAATACATAGACCTCCCCAGACTACAGATGAAGAAAAGAGTTAAGAGCATTTGCTGAAAGAGAACGATGCTGTAGGCTCTATAGCTCATCATTCATGAGCTCAGAAGGAGTGGTAGTCAAAGTACCAAAAGGACTCCTTATATCTAAGGGGCCCAGTAGGCTAGAAAATTAAAATGGCACCGCAGAAAGTGTACCGCTTGAATCATCTACATATTCTTGACAGATGGACGAATGCAGGATCTCTGGACTTGAACTAAACAGAAACAAGGCCCAATGCCTAATGGTGCTCATAGTGCTATTACAGCATATAAATAATTGAAACCTCGAGGTTGCTGTGGTTATGCACATTCCCCTAACTGATTACGGGTTGGTTTTTTGGGTTTTTTTTTTTTTTTTTGAGTTTTGACAATACTTATAAAACAATAGCCAACGGCTGAGAATGACCTTCCTCTAATGTATTTTCAATTAAGATAATGTAAAGTTAGTCATGTGCTCCATAATGACTCATCAGTCAACATCTATATAACATGTATATGTATATGTATATGTATATGTATATGTATATGTATATGTATATGTATATGTATATGTATATGTATATGTATATGTATATGTATATGTATATGTATATGTATATGTATATGTATATGTATATGTATATGTATATGTATATGTATATGTATATGTATATGTATATGAAACATAATGTTCCCATAAGACTATTTCAGAGATGTTTGTGGTGGTTTTGGTACATGCTTACCTACTGCATGGCTGGGTTAGCACGTACTACGTATGTATGAACGATACTTGATAAATGACCACAGTACATGTTATGCATTGAACATAATATTTTTTTACTTTTATTTCAATTATGTGTGAGTGTGTAGTTGTGCATGGGAATGTATTGTCCACAGAAGCTGGAAGAAAGCTTTAGATTCCCTGGAGCTGGAGTTACAGGCAGTTGTGAGCTACCCAGTAAGCGGCCCAGCGTGGGTGCTGGGAACCACTTGTTATTCTTCCAGAGCTATCTTAACCACCAAGCCCTATTACACAACATTTTTTACTGTGTGAGGGTGACATGTATATTTGCTCATGTGTGTGCAGGTACACATGTGTGCTCGTGCACACAGAAGCCAGATGATAGCCCCGGCTATTGTTCTCAGACATCACCCACATTGATTTCTCTTAAAAACAGGGTCCTTTGCTGGCCTGGAACTAGCCATGACTAAATTGGCTGACGGGCAAGCCTGTCTCTGCCTCTCCAACACCTGTATTGTAAGTGCATGCCTCCATGGCCAGTTTTTTTCACTTGGGTTCTGGGATTGAACTCAGGTCCTTCTTCTTCCAAGACAAACAGCTCACCAACTTAGCCAGCTCTGTAGCTTCCATATTTTAAAATGTGTTTTTATCATGTCTGTCTTCTACTTTTAAAAGAAGACCAAGAGAAACTGGCCGCCGAGTAGTCTGCTGGGTTTTGTTGTTCTAGCATCATGTCCTTCACTCCTCTGGTGCACCATTTTCTCTTGTGCTTGATCTAATCTTGTATGGTTTTGTTCATCACTCCTGGGGCAGTGAGCTATATCATACATACATCCATGTAGCCTGGTGTGCAGCAGGCTAGACCATCGAGGCCTATGTTACTAAGTTGGTGAACTCTAATGTTTGAGGTGACAGAATAGCTAGGAGCTCATCTCTGGGGACATTAAACCGGGCTCTTTGTCCTCTCCCAGAATTCTTGGGAGGAAAACCCAAGTTTGGGAATTGTAAGAAGTGTTTGAGTGATGTCTTCTTTAATAAAGGTTGAAACACATCTAAAAAGGCAAAGCTGTGTCTGCAGAACAAGTTCTCTCTTCTGAAGTGATGTCTCAGAGGTGTCGAGCCAGAGAGACTAATGCTGGTTTTGTTTGTTCTTCTTGCCTTTTAAAAACAGGTTTTAAGGCACTAAACAGGCTAGACTTTTGATTGTTGCTTCCACTGACCTGAACACACTTTTCTGGAGAAAGTCGGCTACCATCAGTCATTGGTGCTCGCCCCTCGCTGTTTGAAAACTTCCTCAGATTACTTGTGCTTTACAGAAATTATCTGCTCAGCAGCCATGCATCATTTATAACAATCTCTGGCAAAACCTCAGAAAAAGATACGCTCTTGTCTCATCGGGCAGAGCGCAGTGAAAACACTCCCCAGGCTGCGGTGACTGCGACAGTGGGACAGCCTCGTGGAACTTGCTTCTCCGAGAGAGTATGACCCAGTTAGAAAGGAAGCAAGAGTCACAAGCCAAACACAGTCACCGGTGAAACCAGAGAGGGGCTCCTGCAGGATCTAGGGAAGCAGCTGGATTCGGGCTTCTCCGCAGGACAGCAGATCTCTCCCGGCTGTCCAGCTGTCCATCGTGGGGAGAGGAAATGGCCCATGAAGTGGACCTGGAGTCCTTTAAGGAGATGGAACAGGAGGTCATTCTCGGGGTCCTATACCGAGATCAGGCTGTTCAAAGCATGGAGAAGGAAAGGGTCCGGTAAGCCGCGCTTCCACCTGTGGTGGTCCTATGGGGCTTGGCTTTTTCTGTCTGGAGTCATGGCTTCTTGGCTTACTTGTGACTGCTAACTCAGGGTCCCAATGAAGGTGTGGGGGTTGGGGATTATTTTTGCAACAGACCTAAATCAATTTCACAATTCTTTGGAAAGAACGCCTTTGTTCTTTGTGAGCTCCCCCACTTTGTGAGAGTAACTAGAGGAACACCAACAGGCTTCTGGCAGTGCCCCCACCAAGGGAGAACCTCCATTTAAGAGCCCCCACCCCTTGTTTTCAGGGGTACCTGGAGGGGCAAAGGAGGAGGGTCAGAAACAGAAAACCAGTGGAATCCATTTCTGTCTTTTCTCTTTGTTCACGTTCGAGCAGCAGCTGGCTTGGAAGAAGGAAGGGTGAACCTGCTTAGCCTGTTCCCTAACCCTTTATCAACAGGACCTTCTTTCCTGGCCTGGCTGTTTGGTGTGAGGTTGCACTTACTGTGGGCTCTGGATGGCAGAACTGCCCATTGTTAGCTGGGAGGTTCCCTCTGTAAATATTCGGCTTGTTTTTCAATGTTCATGGGCACATCTGAAATTTCAGTACCTAGGAGGTAGAAACAGGAGGATTAGGGTTCAAGGTCAAGGCTTGGGAGATGGCTCAGCAATTAAGGACACTTTTTGATCTTGCAGAAAATCCTGCGTTCAATTCCCAGCATCCACATGGTGGCCCACAACCATCTGTAACTCCAGTTCCAGGGGGATCCAGTGTCCTCTCTGGCCTCTTCGGGAACCAGGGACTCATGTGGTGCACCTGTATGCATACGGACAAAGCACTCATACACATAAAATTAAAAGAAATCTAAATATCTTTTCATTTAAAAAGTTCAAGATCACTTTTAGCGATTAGGCATGTTTGAAGGTAAGCAGGTGAGCATGTGCCTAGCGTGTAAGAAGGCCTAGAGTCAATCCTAGCACCAAGGAGGGGGGGCACGCCAATGTTTTATAGGAGAGCTTTTTCAGAGTCATTGGCGAGATGACACAGCAGTTAAGAACACTGGCTGCTCCTCCAGAGGTCCAGGGTTTGGTTCCCAGCACCCACCCGATAGTTTACAATTGTCTGTAACTGCAGTCCCCCCGGAAACCTGATGCACTCTGCTGGCCTCCACAGGCACTGCGTGCACATGATGCTCTGACAAGCATGCAGGCAAAAACACCCATATGCATAAAAAAAAAAAAATACCACACATATAAAGTAAAATGTTAGAAGAGTGAGGGAAATTGTTTGATTAACCAGAGATACAAAGTTCTTTTTTCTGCCGGGCGTTGGTGGCACACGCCTTTATTCCCAGCACTCGGGAGGCAGGGGCAGGTGGATCTCTGTGAGTTCGAGGCCAGCTTGGTCTCCAGAGTAAGTGCCAGGATAGGCTCCAAAGCTACACAGAGAAACCCTGTCTCAAAAAACCAAAAAAAAAAAAAAAAGTTCTTTTTTCCAAATCTCCTTTATTTCTTTTATTTGTTTATTCATTTATTTATCTATCTGTCTGAGACAAGATCTTTCTCTATCACCCTGGCTGTCCTGGAACTCCCTGTGTGGACCAGGCTGACTTTGAACTCACAGAGATCTGCCTGCCTCTGTGTCCCTGTGTTCCAAACGCTGGGATTGAGGGGGTATGTTGCCACACCTGGTCCCTACTTTATTTCAAAAGTCCTTAAATATACTTGTAAACGCTAATTCACTGAAATAATAGTAGGCTGAGAAAATGATTAAAATCTCTTTGGTGTTTGGAATAGTAACAGAGTCGTGGATACTGGTGAGAAAGGTTGAACGGAGTATAAACTGTTTCTGAAACAGGCTTGTAATCTTTTTGCCACAGCCACCCTGGGAGACAGGCATTGTTTCACAGAAAACCCTGAGCCTAGGCAGGTGAGGTTAAGAGGCCAACTCCTACAGCCTTGTCAGATCCCAAAGCCCTTTGCCTTATATGGTGGGTCTGTGGTCAGCTGTGTAGCATTGTATCTTTGTTAGTTTTATTTATGTTGCTGTGATAAACTGCCCTGACAAAAAGCAGTGTAGGGGAGGAAGAGGTTTATTTTATATTATAATTCAGGTTACCACCCATTTTTGTGGGGGAAGGCCAGGTAGGAGCTTCAAACAGCTGGTCACATCACATCCACAGCCAAGAGCAGAGAGAAACCAATGCATATATGTGTGCTTGCTTGCCCAGTTTCATTTCTCCGTTCTCCTACAGTTTGCCCCTGCCTAGGGGATGGTGCTGCCCACAGTGGGCTGGTTCTTTCCTCATCAATTAAGTGAAGACAATCCCCCACAGACATGTCCACAGGCCAGCCCCATGTAGAAAATCCTTTTCAAGGCTCTCCCCAGGTGATTCAAGGCTATGCCATGTTGACAGTTAAAGCTAACCACTACACCACCCAATCATTGTTCAACTTGTTGGGTCACAGGAAACTGAAAACACACCTGCAGCATCTTCGGTGGAAAGGGGCAAAGAGCTCGAGTCAGGAGTACAAGGAAAAGTGCTGTGCACGCTGCCAGCGGGTTCTAGGTGTGCTGCTGAACCGCGGGGCCGTGTGCCAGGGCTGCAGCCACCGTGTGTGCTCTGAGTGCCGTGTATTCCTGCGGAGGACACACACATGGAAGTGCACAGTGTGCTTTGAGGACAGGTAAGGATCACGGTTAGGGTGTGTGTGTGTGTGTGTGTGTGTGTGTGTGTGTGTGTGTGTGTGTGTGTGTATGCATTCATGTGTGAGTGTGAGTGTGCATTCATGTGAGTGTGTGTGTGAGTGTGTGTGTGTACAAGCACACAAATGAATATTCTGTTCCTTCTCTGACACAGGACTCAGGGAGGCTTCAAAGCCATCCTGGCTTCAAACTCACGATGTATACTCATCACACCTCAGTCATCAATAGATACTTCTCAAAAGCCATCACACCAAATCTGATCCATAGATGTCCCCAGAGCTACTTTTCTCTGCTTGGGAGGGAGACATCTTAATTTAAAAATGGTTTTTATTTCCAGGTAATGGTAGCACACACCTTTAATACATCCTAGCACTCAGGAAGCAGAGGGACGCTTTTTGTTGTTGTTTGTTTTGTTTCTTTTGAGACGGGATCTCACTGTGTATCTCTGAAGGTCTGCAAATTGATACAAGACCAGGCCCGCCTCAAATTTACAGAGTTCTGTCTCCTGAGTGCTGGGATTAAAGCTGTGCCATCACGCCCAGCCATAAAACATTTTTATGTATGAATGTTTGGTGACTGATGATAGACAGACCCAGGATTTTTGATTTATCTGGGTTTCTTGACTAGTGAGTGCCTTAGCCTTTGTCTTTTTAAAGATGGGGTCCCATGAAACCCAGGTTGGCTTTAAACTCAATATGTGTAACTGAGGCTGATCTTGAACTCCTGATCCTTCAGCCTCTACCAAGTGCTGAGATTACAGGACCAAAGTACATCCAGCCCGGTGCCTCTGTTTTCTTGGACCTTATCCCTTTCAGGAAAAGTGGCAGGGATGTGGGCAGGGTCCTAAGCCTATTTCTGGAAGAATGTTTTGAAGGAGGGAAGTGGTGTTTTTGAACAAGTCATTTTGAAAATTAGCATATTTGACCTGCAGTCCCACTGTCCCAAGAGCAGGTCATCCATATCCTGAGATATGGAGGGGCACACCCACTTAAAGGAAGAACAAACACAGAGAATACCACAGAACTTACAGGAAGAGAGAAGTGTGAGGCAGATACAAATCTGTGAGTGAGTGGTCAGAGGCTCTGGTCTGAAGCAACTTGTAGTATCACTAGCGTATTGGAGAATCCTAGAACAGATCATGGGAGATTCGAACACAGAGCAGCATAAAGCAGGCTTCCCTTCCTATGTCAGAAGGGCTGTCTGCCTGGCCACCCTGACATTAATGCTGGATTTCCTGTTCCTCTGCAAGGCCCTATGCATGTCAGTCACCCAGCAATACGGAAGTGGCTCCGACCTCTCTGCTTTGAACTGGTGGCTTCTTTCAGTCACAGCACCATATCTCCCTGTCCTGGATTGGCTGCTATCCTTTCTTGGGCTTGCTGGAGTCAGTGTCCATCAGGAATTTCTCATTTCAAGAGAAAAACCCTAAGCAGAACTGTGCCCTGTCCTGGCCACACAGTGTGGAGGTGGGCCAGGCAAAAAAGGGAATTGATTCCGAGCCATCTCCAGACAGGTCCAAGGGCTTTCTTCCCCACTCAGTCAGCCACCTGGCTTTGATGTCTACAGTCAACCCTGATAAAGGAAATAAATGAACCCTTAGCAATTTTCCCCTTCTAATAGTTACCTGCAAACGAAAACTCAAAATAGAGGGCCTGGGCTGGGGCAGTCTCCTAGGGAGGTAACTATGTTGAAATCTCGGCCCTACCCGGCATCGCGCCCAGTACTGCAACGTGACCTACTAAACACACAAAATGTCATTTCTATAACCCTCAGCTTCCTTATTTTGAAATAAGGATGTTTTTCAAAACACCTGTGATAATTGCGTCACTCCAGGTGGATTCGTGAAGGAAGCCGTGTTAGAAGAAAGCTAATTTACAGTAACTCAGGCTTTCTCTCATTTCATCCTGTCCAGTTCTTCACACTCCTCACTCCTGTCTCCAGCTTTGTCCTGAGGAGGCCACCATCTAGTTTTTGGTCTGCAACAATGGTGAGGTCTTGCCCAGCTTCACTACTCTGCTCTTGCTGTGTCCCCTAGTGGGACCTGGGGAAGGGTCTTGAGTCCATTCATGTTTCTTCCCCCTGTTTTTCCCCCAGTAAAAATAAAATAAATAAGAACTGGGTGAGGAAAGTAGATTTTTAAAATCAAGAAAGAGGTAGACTTGGGGGTACCAGTTAAAAGTCCACAAAGAAGGGTCAGGAGCAGTGGATTTCTGTGAGTTTCAGGACAGACAGGAGGACTCTACACATAGAGACCCTCTTTATAAAGGATGGCATACAACTTAGATTCCTGCCAAGCAAAAGGCCTGTGAAGTGTGCTGGCTGGGGGAGCCCAGGAGACATTTGGCAGACAGCGTCTTCTTCAGGCAAATTTTCTCTTAGAGACCTGCTCTTGCCAAGAGTCCTGGCGCTCAGGTCAGGAGGAGACAAGGGACCCGACTGACTCTGTTGGCAGTGACCCTCCCCCAGACCATTGTAGCAGAAGAGTACTTTTAAGCCTCCCTTAAAGCTCAACCTGCCTTAAGGGTGGCTACTACTGCTGTCCATACTTCAGAGTGGATGCTGAAGCAGAGGACAGTGTGTCTGAAGATTATAGAATACTTTTGTGTGCACACATGTATGTCTAAGCAGGGGTATATGTGTGCCATGGTGCACGTGTAGAACTCCAGACACAATTTTAGTGGTTGGTCCTCGCCTCCCACCTTTTTATTATTTTAAAGATTGATTTTTAACTGTGTGTGTCTGGGGTGGAGTATGTGCATATGCATGTTGACACCCTCAGAGGCCAGGCACTTCAAATCCTTGGGCGCTGGAATTACAGACAGTTGTGAGCTGCCTGAAATGAATGCTGGGAACTGAACTCAGGTCCTCTATGAGAGCAGGATGCACTCTTAACTGCTGAGCCATCTTTCCAGCCCTGTCTTCCACCCTTCCACCTTGTCTGAGACAGGATCTCCTGTGCATGCCAGGGTAGCTAGCCTTGGAGCTCCCGAGAATTCCACCTCCTCCCATCTTGCCATAGGATTGTGGCAATCATTGGCTCATGCCACCATATCTAACTTTACATGGGTCCTAGAGATCCAAACTCAGATCTTGATGCTTGTGAAGCAAACACTGACCGGACCCACTGAGCTCAGCACTAGACAACTCTCTTGGTGCTAATAAAGAGAACACATTTGGTTTCTCTGTATAGCTTTGGAGCCTATCCTGGCACTCACTCTGGAGACCAGGCTGGCCTCGAACTCACAGAGATCCAACTGCCTCTGCCTCCTGAGTGCTGGGATTAAAGGTGTATCTACCAACACCCAGCAAGAGAACACATTTTTGAGACAGGGCCCTAGTAGGTAGCTCAGGCTGGCCTCAGACCCACAGTCCTCCTGTCTCCGCCTCTTGAGTGGTAAGATTGGGAGGCCCCTGCCAGCATGCCCAGAAAGAGAATTCTCTCACACAGTTGTATGTGTCACTGTTGTTGAAGGGCAGGCTCATCTTGTGGTCAGCACTTGATTGCAGTTCTTGCCTTTAAAACCCTTTTGGGAATTAGTGAGCTTTCTATTTTATTATGTCTTTGGTTTGTACTCTCTGCTGTCATCCGTTTAGTTCAGCTGGAGCCTATCACCATACAGGAGGCACTTTGGGTGGTAATCAGGTCAAGCGCTGTCTTGGTAAGCACTCAAGGTCACAGAGTGGCTGGAGTTGAGAGGTTGGGCAGGTGGGTGGGGGTGGTTTTTTCTGTATATTATTCTGTACATTCATAAGGATTTCCATAATAACTTATACATGTCCACAAGACAGACTACAGTGTATTCCCAAACCCGCAGACACCATCAGCAATGTGCTGGTTTCAGATAACTCAGCTATGTCCTGGTCCACTGATGCAGCCATTTCAGTGTTGTCATGAATGAGCGTCTTTATTTTCACAAAAAGAGGGATGCCCTGGGGTTCCTGCCCAGTCATAAAACCGGCCTTAGGCTGCTGTGTCTGAAATCCCTCCTATGCTGAGGTGCTTGGGTGATGGTCTGGTTAGATTCTGGAATTTCTTTTTGATTCAAATGCATACTGAGTAGTTTTCAGAAACCAACAGTGTGCCCCTTTCCTAAGAAAGCAGTTGGGTCTGCCCATTCCCCGTAACTGCCTGCTCTCCACACAGTTACCCCACAAGACTGCATTTCCCAAGTCAGTGGATTTGAGTGTGCCTTCCAGGGGCTTTCCCACATTCATGGTGACCTCACTGGGTTTCTAATCCTGGGTCTTGCCCTTTTAATCAAGAAATTCAATAAATGCCTCCTTGTCTTTTGGAATGTAACATTGCAGAGACATCTGAAGGTGTTTTATCACACGTTCTTTATGCCCTCGAGATGCCCCTGTCCTAGTTAGGGTTTCTGTTACTGTGAAGAGACACCATGACCACAGCAACTCTTTCTTTTTCTTTTTTTTTTTAAAAAAAAAACGAATTCATTTTTTACATAGTGTTTTTACATTGGTGTTGTACCTGCATGCATGTCTGCGTGAGGGTGTTGGGTCCCGTGGAACTGGAGTTACAGACTGTTGTGAGCCAGCATGTGTGTGCTGGGAATTGAACCCTGGTTCTCTGGAAGAGCAGTCAGTGCTCTTAACCACTGAACCATCTCTCCAGCCCCCCACAGCAACTCTTGTAATGGAAAACATTTAATTGGGGTAGCTTACAGTTTCAGAGGTTCAGTCCATTATCACCATGCTACAAGGTGGCAGACATGGTGCTAAATAAGGAGCTGAGAGTTCTACATCTTGACCTGCAGGCAACAGGAAGTAGTCTGAGTCAGTGGGCATGGCTTGAGCATATATGAGACCCAAACCCCACCTCCACAGTGACACACTTCCTCCAACAAGGCCACACCTCCTAATAGTGCCTCTTCCCAAGAGCTTATGGGGCAATTACATTTAAACTCCCACAGCCCCCCTTTCTAGTTCTTATAGTTAAAATGTTTCTGGGAATGGGGGACTCTCCACTTGATCTTTATGGACCAAACAACAAACATACTTTTCAATTTTTGATTTTCAGCCTCTTGAATTCTCCCATTTCTAAGCCAACATTTCCTCTTCGATTTGATTTTTCTGTTGTGCTTTTATCCCCCTCTTTCTTTCTTGTCTTTTACTTAGAGGGGATTGAACTTAGAGCCCTGTAGACACCAGGCCACTAAGCTACAACCCAGCCTGGAGAATAACTGTTAGTAAGCAGCTTGGCCACACTCTCTGCTGCCTTCTCTCTTCCGCATTTCCATCTGTTTCTTCTGTGTTCTGAGAAAGCAGCTGAGCTAACCTCAGTCAGGACTTAGCTGATTTGGTTCTGCCTTGTGTGTGTGTGTGTGTGTGTGTGTGTGTGGTTTTTTGGCTGTTTTTTTTTTTTTTTTTTTTTTTTTTTTTTTTTCAGACAGGGTTTCTTTGTATATCCCTGGCTGTTCTGGAACTCACTCTGTAGACCAGACTGGCTTTGAACTCAGAGATCTGCCTGCCTCTACCTCCTGAGTGCAGGGATTGAAGTAATTTGACACCACTGCCTGCTGGTTGTGCCTTTTATTGGGCATCAACAGGGTTTGGCCCTGATTAATGCCCTAATCCCCTCCACTCCACTCTGTCTCCTGCTCTTGCCCTGTGTCTCCTCACTCCAGCCTGATTTCCTGCTGTGGTTGAGGTTCTTTTGCAGAGGCAACAGCCATGTTTTTAAAAGCTGCTTCCTGCTAGTACTTTCTGGTTGCCATGGTGACGCTTGCTCTGCCTGGCCATTCCCCTGGTTTTGCAGGCTCCATGGATATTGCCTGTGGCATTTTGCCAGCTGCTCTTTGCTGTCTCTTCAAACCTCTGGGTTGGGACTGTGCCAAGAGCGAATGCTTCTTCCCTGGTGCTCAGTCCTTTTGGCAACATGAAACCGCCCTTGAAGGCTATAGCCCTTATCCATGCCGGATCCCACCTCATCCCTTTCTTCTCAGGGAGCTCCCTGGAGAGGTCGAAATATTCATTTATTCACCAGTACACTGTGCTGGGACCTGTGAGTGTGTCTGGGTGTGATGGAAAGAGGGCCTTGGGTTAAGGAAGGGACATGGTGAATGTTTTGCAAGAAGGGTTGATAACAGCGTGATAAAATCATTGCTTTATCTTCATTAAGAGTCTCTACTCTTCTCACAGTTGCCTAGGATTTAATCACAAACATCTGCCTGTTTTCCTGTACCAGCGATGAAAGCAGATCAGCTGGGCTTGTGGACAGACAAAACAAACCCACACTATTTGCTTCGCCACTGCAAAGCTTAGCTGCAGGGTTGTTTGAAGGAAAGTTTTTTAATTGGGTGAGAGCACAAACCACTCTTAAAAGTTAGAGGCCGCACTGGCCCATGCAGGAAACCTGTGGCTCTGTTACACAGCAGGCCATTGCTGTGTTCGGAGTATTTGCCTCCCAAGCATCTGGCAAGCCACTGGGGTATTTTGGGGGTGCTCTTCAGGCTTCTTTGCCATCAGGGCCCTAGAGAGCAGACTACATGGCATCAGGCATTCAAAGAATTGTGAAGACACAGATGCCCCCATCTTCAACCTCTTGTCGGTTGATTGGTGAAAATACCTTCAGCGTCTGGGGGACATCATGTCCACTTTCTCAGCACATAAAGCACAAATGTAACTGCATCCCCACCTGCAGATGTAGCAGTTTGGTACAAAGCGAAGATGTGTCCCCACATGCCTCTTTAATTCTCTGCTTGCTCCTACCAGTGAGGTCAAAACAGCTTTTTGCTGGGCTCCTCTGGCCTCATCATTAGCAAACATCTGTGCTTGAATTTGCAAAGCACCTTCAACGGTTACTTCTCTTTTGCTAATTCGGCATTAGCAGGGTTGAGGACCATAAAGTGGTACTTTTAGAAGCAGAATGAGCACCAGGTTTCCAATGTTTATAATTCCAGCCTCCCTGCCTTCCTGGAGTGTTCAACCCATAGCTCTCAGGTTGCAAGAGTTTATTTTAAGTGACACCTGGACACAACCTTGTCATCTACAAGGTTAGTTTTTGTCATCCAGACACAAACTGAAAGTCACCTTGGAAGAGGGAACATTACTTGAATAATTGCACCCATTGGATTTACCTGTGGGCAAGTCTGTGGGGCATTTTCTTGATTGATGATTGATATGGGCGGGCCAAGCCCATCGTGGGTGGTGCCATCCCTGGGCAGGTGGTCCTGCTTTGTCTAAGAAAGCAGGCTGAGCAAACCATCGAGAGAAAGCAAGCCAGTAGCGTTTTCCTGTGGTTTCTGCTTCAGTTCCTGCCTGAGTTCTTGCTCTGGCTTTCCCTTGGTGATGGGCTAGAAGCCGAACAAACCTTCAGGTCAGTGTTTTATCACAGCACAGAGGACAAACCAGGATGGTATGTTTGAGCATTGCACAAGTTATAAAAGAAAATCACACACAGATGCACACACACACCACTCAATGTTTTTAATAAGTTTACAATTTTGTGTTGGGGCCACATTCAAAGCTGGCCTTGGGTTGGGTAGGAGCATGTGGGCCAAGACGATTCTTCTTCATTCAACTGATCCAGAGAAGCCGAAAGGTTGGATTCCATGGCCCACATAGAGAGAGGTCAGGGCAGGCCCAGTGGCTACCAATTACCTGTAACTCCAGTTCCAAGGGATCTGGCACTTTGTTCTGGCCTCCGAAGACACCAGGAATGCACTTGGTGCACAGACATAATGCAGGCAAAGTACCCGTACAAAAATAGTACTATTGTTTTAATACGTAAATATTATATTTATTTATTTATATAAGGTGTTATGAGGTCTTATAATGGCTCACTCCTTCAATCTCAACACTTGAGAAGCTAAGGCAGGAGAGGTGCTATGAGTGTGAGGGTGGGCTGGGCAGTGAGTTCTAGGTCAGCTCGAGCTAGAGTGAGGCCTGCTCTCAACGAGATAATTCTGCTTGCTTTTCAGAGTTGTGAAAATCAAAACTGGAGAATGGTTCTTCGAGGAGCGCGCCAGGAAATTCCCAACTGAAGGTAAATGCTCTTAAAACTTAACTCCCTTAAAACAAGTGTCTCTAGTTTTCAAATATTTTGGCACTGAGGGTTTTTTTTTTCTTTCTTTCAACTAAAACAAACAAAAACCACCTCCTGGTACATGAAATGACAATGTTTTTAGTGACGGGTCTGGCTGGCTTTTAAAAACTTGTGTACCGGGAACCGAGGCGGCGGCAGCTTAGTGTATCTTAAGCAGTCACCCCTAAGCAGTGGCAGGCAGTGGGGTTTGCAAGGTGGGGACAAGCTCAGTACCTAACGCCCGGTTACTTCGGCTTACTTATTTTGGTGAGGGCTAACAGCCATCTAAGGGTAACTTGTAAAGGGGTTGTAAGGACTAACTATGCGACTCAGGTCAAGTAGGCTCGCCTGGCTCCAGGGTGTCATTCTATTTGGGATCTTTCCTCTTCCGGAGGGTTAGTTTTAGCATGAGTGACTCCGTTTTTGTTTGATCTGGCCTTTTGGGACCTACCTAGTACAGGACCTCAGACAACAGCAGCAACCTCCCAGGACTTGAGAGTACGGTTTAGGCCCTGACACCTGACCTTCCCCTCCCTTCTATGTGAGCATGCCTGTTCCTGAACACAGCCGATTGGTTACCTTTGCCAGCGGTCCCGCCCTGTCTGTCCCACTTCCTCCTCTGCTTTGCCAGACTTCCTGCTTCCGGAGCTGTTTTTCCGGGAGTCCGCTGTGTGCAAGGTTTTCTGTGATAGTTACAAGGCACTTTTGTGCCGCGTCTCTATACGAGTAGAAACTACTTTTATAATCATTTAAAAATCGTTTTGAAATCTGCTCATCCAGTATTTTGTTCATGATCCTTAATTAGAAATAACTTCGATCAGGGCTCAGTTGATCAAGCAGATTTGGACCTGCGCTCCACCCCCAGAACCCACCTTAGAAAAGGCCGGGCCTGGTGGTCCAAGCTAATCATTGTGGATGCAGAGACAGGCAGATCCTGAGGGCTTGCATGGCAGCCAGCCTACCCTGCTGCGCAAGTTCCCAGCCAGTGAGAGTCACTGTATCAAATAAACAAGGCGGGGGCACCCCAGAGAGCCAACAGCAGCCGGTCGGGTGTGTGCAGTGTTAATTAGCAGGTCTCTCACTCAAACGAGAGAGGAGGACCAACGCCAGAAGTGGTCCTCCACCTCCACAGGCAACTCTCAGCGGCATGTGCGTGGCTCCCACACACATAGACGCATCCACACACCAAAGATAATAAAGCTAAATGCAGGTTAAATGAGTACATTTGAAAGATCTAGGGCTGGGGCTGTGTTAGTGCCAGGCTCACATGAGTGAGATCCAAGTACTGGGGGGTGGGCCAACATTTTGTTACTTTTCTCTTGCTGTGATAAAACACTCACACCAAAGCTAAGGCAACTTAGGGGAAGGGGTTTGGCCAGGTGGTGGTGGTGCACGCCTTTAAACCCAGCACTGGGGAGGCAGAGGCTGGCGGATCTCTGAGTTAGAGGCCAGCCTGGTCTATAGAGTGAGTAACAGGACAGCCAGGGCTACACAGAGAAACCCTGTCTCGGAGAGAGGGAAGAAAAAAGAAAAAACAGGTTTATTTTGGTATATAGTTCCGGGTGGATAGAGGCCATCCTGGCAGGGATGGCACGGCACGGCACTGCATGGCATGGTTGGCGACAGGAGCAGTATGCTGCCTTATCCCATTGCATCCTCAGGGAGGGAGGGAGGGAGGGAGAGGGAGGGAGGAGAGAGAGGGAGGGAGGAGAGAGAGGGAGGAGAGAGAGGGAGAGAGAGGAGAGAGAAACAGGAAGTGGGACCAGACTATAAACCCTCAATGCCCACACCCTTCCTCCAGTAAGGCTCCACCTCCTTAAGGTTCCATAGCCTCCCCAAACTGCATCACCAGCCGGGGGACCAAGTATTCAAATACATGAGCCTGTGAGGGACATTTCTCCTTCAAACCACCACAGACACCGTCTGAAACGTACCAATGACTTTATACATCAACAGAGCTGCTACAATTTGTTCAACCTTTCCCCAACTGGCAGGCACGACACCGTTTTATTTGATTTTTTCCTCGGCAGATCACTGTGGTGAACATCTTGTACGGGGGCTTGGCATTTCTGTGTGATTCCCTTGGCTAGATTTCTCAAAAGGAGGGTGGCTGGTTGGATGCGGGAACACTTGAAAGGGTTATGCTGCTGCTTTGCCAACACACCTTCTAGGAAGGGCATTTCATTTGGTATGCTCAGCAGGATGGGCAGCTGCCTTCTCCCCATACTCTGGCCCTCTTGGAAGCATCGAATTCCATTTGCGCTTTTGTTTTGCCTGTAAGCACTATGTGTTCATTTAAAAATCGGAAAGTGAGGCTGACTGGAGCTAAGGCTTTATAGAGCACTGGCCTGGCCCGTGTGGGACCCTGGGTTCACTCCCATCAAAAGAAAGTGAGATCTAAGCAGGAGGAGATGGGGGGAAGGGAGAGTGGAGATGTTAAAAGCTGACCAGTTTCACCCAGGGAATACTCTTTTACACATTATTTCTGCCCACCCTCCCCCCAGGTGTGTTCATGTGCATATAGTCACATCTTTAAAACTATTTAGGGACCAGTAAGGTGGCTTTTGGGGGGAAGGATGCCCTGCTGCCAAGACTGACAACCTGAGTTCAATTCCACATGGTAGAAGAGAACCCAACTCGCACAAGTTGTCCTCTGACACCCTCCCCTACTGTATTAAAAGGTACTAAAGATTTTTAACTGTTTAGTTGAATCATAAAAGACATAGCTATAAAAATGACTGATGACAACTTTATGTGATGTTTGTGTAACTGGGAGCAATTTCATCTTTAATTTTATCCTGCTATTTCTCTGCACCGTACTTTGTAAAGGACATTTTCCAGACACTTAAGCATCGTGAACCATGTGATCTCTGATGACCTCACCTCATCCATCCTCAGAATGTCTCACCATTTATTCAGCCAAGTTATGATTGTGGGTAGGAAAGGCAGGGCTATTTGATGATGAAGGCAGAGCTATACCCACAAGTACCCATCTCAGGCTCAGGTGTTGTGAGTTTTCATTTTAGCATTGAAAACTAAGCCAAGCTTAATGTTGAGTTGCAATTCCAGGGATCACTACACCCTCAGCATCAGTTTCCTTTATATGTGTTTTACTTATTCCTCCCTTAATGGTTCTGTTAGATATGTGTCATTTAAGATAAATGATACCAAAATTTCCATGAAAGTAGACTAGATGGAAGTCATATTCAGTAAAGAGTAATAGAGATAGACTGTGGGAACATTTGCTCTGCCAATCTCCCAACTTTTAAAAAAGACCTTAAGAGCGCTGGCAGGATGGCTCAGGGGGAAGAGAGTTTGCTGCTTAATTATGAGGTTCTGGGGTCAGAATCTCAGCCAGTGTGATTGTATGTGTGCCAGTAGCCCCAGGACTGTGGTGGAGAATCACTAAGGCTCCCTGGCTACCAGTCTACTCCTAGAACTGATGTGGGTGCTGGGATCTGAACTCAGATCCTCTGCAAGAACAGCAAGTATTCTTAACTGCTGAGCCATCTCCCCAGCCCCTGCTCTTGTGATATTGTTGAGGTTTATCTGTTCTCATTGGAATCTTCCTGTGGGCGGCCAGGGCTTCACGGCTCTAAAGTGTCTTTAGGAATCTTCCCTGGCTGTCTTGGCATTGTTCCCTCTAGATCTGCTGTCTGCAAGATTTGGTGGTGTGTGCAGAGGCTTCTAATGTGGTTTCAGGGACCCTGGCTTCATAATTAGCTGAAAGTGTTTCCAGTTTGTAGCTCCCGGCTTTACACACTGAGGTTGCAATTCAGTGAGGCACTGGGGACATGTTAGATGGGGCGGGTGGGACTTGAACAGGGTTATGTTAGGCAGGTCGCCAGGGCATTCTTTATGAGTACTGTGGGCTCAAGAGCTGCTAGTAAAGTGGCTATGTTAACTATGATGGGCATTTTTTTACCCTGGCTGAAACTGGAAATCACCTTTACTCTTGGCGCCGCCTTTTGGCTCGTTGCTGGAAGTGCACTTTATGTTGGTGCCAGTGGTAACTTTTTGTTTTATCCTACAAACTTGACATTTTTATGCCTTAATGGTCATCAGTTTGTAGAACATCTGCTTAATGTGCACAAAGCTCAGGGTTTGATTCTCTGCGCCATATAAAACAAGGCACAGCCGTGTATGCTTGTCATCCTAGCACTTAGGCATCAGGGGCAGGAGCATCAGAAGGTCAAGGTTGACTTCAGATACAGAGTGAGTTTGAGGTGAGTTTGAGGCCAGTCTGGACTACCTGACGCCTTGACACGTGTGTGTGTGTGTGTGTGTGTGTGTGTGTGTGTGTGTGTAATAGATGAAAGTCAGGCAATATGCACATCTGTGGTCCCAGCACTGAGGCTGACTATACAGTGAGATTCTGTCTCAAATGCATGAGCATACACACACACACACACACACACACACACACACACACACACACACACAAATCAGAAAGCAACATCAGTAGTTTTAACTCTTTTCAGTTAAAAGAGGGTAAATGTTATACGTAAACAATCTACTCAAACGCCCTCTACTGTTAAAACTGGAAATACAATGACTTAAGGAGGCTGGTCCTCTGCACCCCCTCTGCTAAATGTCTCTGGGACCTATTGTATCACAAACCAGGGTGAGTCTGCATGTTGTCACTATGGAGATGGGGAATCTTTATCCCCTTCTGTAGCAAGTGGTGTTTAATTTTTCAAACGACTTTTAAGGGTCTTAATCTTCTACTCAGGCAACTTAGTCCGTGCCCATCTGGTCACAGGATTTTGGAGACAGAATCAGACTGGTGTGGCCTGGAAGCACCTGGGCTCATGGAGGACCAGCAGTAGAGGGGCTGGGAATGTGGCTCCGTGGCAGAATGGTTGTCCGGCATGCACAAGGCCCTGGATTCTATCCCCTGGACAGAAAGGACAAAGGGCTGGTGAGAGATGGTTCAGCAACCAACTATGATGACCCGTGTT